GTTCCTGGAGAAGGCGATATCTGAGCTGTGTCTTAAATGAGGGGGTGAAGTTAACCAGGCTTGTTTCATTTAAATTTCACAACAGCCCAGCTAGGTAGATGGTGTCCCCAGTTTGTAGTTGAGGAAACCACAGCTTGGGGGAAAATAATAAAGCCAGAATTTTTTTCACTCATTTGTTCAACCATTCCTTTCCACAAGAAATAGTACTGAGAGTTGGGCACTACTCAAGGGCTTCCACCTTCCCTGCAAACCCCCTCCCCTCTGCAGTGACACCCACTACTCCCCAAGTCCGTCGCCTGTCTTTGAGTCCTGCGGGGTCTCACTCCCCACTGGCCCTATCATTTGCTCCGCTCAGCCCTCCAACCCTCATCCAGAATGGGTGTGGAGCTCCTCCTTGCCCCGGGCCCCACAGCCCCCTTGGGGCTACAGCTGCCCTGGGTGGTTGAACAAAATCCATGTGGCCAGATCTTGGTCACATCCACTGCCAGGCAGGATGCTGGAGGACAGGGATGTGGTAGGTGTGGAAGGTTCTGTCCCTGAGAAACCTGGGGGCTGCGGGAGTTGGGTAGGACTTGGCTCCTGTAGGGTTCTTTCCTGAGAGCCACTTGGCTGACTCTTCACATCACTGGGCTCCCACCTCTCATTGGACCTCACCCTCAGCTTACAGGTGACCTGGCCCAGCACCTGCCCATCTCTGCCAGGGTGGCCTCACTCTAGCCCTCAGACCAGGTCTGAGTCCCAGGGACATGACAATAGGAAAGATAATGGGGGGGCGGGCAGTTTCCCCAAGTCGAGCTTATTCAATTTAAAGCCTTTTTCTATCTGAGTGTATGTATATGTTAAAATGTCCTTTCTTTTATGAAACGATGGTAATAGTATAAGGTGTTTTTTTGGAAAAAATCATGACTTAAAATTTTTTAAAAAAAATCATTACTTGATAGAATTAAAATTTGGCAGCTCTACGTCTGTTCCCAAAAGTTAAGGGGGTAATAGCTGGGTGATGGGTATGTGGGCATTCATTACACTTTTCTCTCTACTGTTGAATAGATCTGAAAGTATTCATATAATTTTTTTAAGTCTAGATGGATTGAAATTTTATTTTATTTATTTATTTATTTTAGATTTTATTTATTTATTTGACAGAGAGATAGAGAGCACAAGTAG